AGTGGAGGTAAAGTGGAAGGGGAAAGCAGAGAGGGGCGGACAGTAGATGAGAGAGAGAGTGGAGGAAGAAATAGGCGAAAGAGAGAGATGGGTGGGAAACAAAACCACAGAATGAGATGACGAGAGGAGAGGAGGGACGGTGTTAACTTACCAGGCCAGTACTGGTGCTGTAGAGGTCGTCAATCGAAGCGATGGTTGACGGATAGGAGGAGAAGAGAATGTCCCCGCCTGGAATGAAGGGTGAATCTAAAGAAGAGGATGGAGAAGCACTCTCAGATCAGGTGGTTGAACTGATCACCCGCAATAACGACAATTATCTCTGTTAGAAACCACCTATCCGCCTCGCTTGTACGCTGGTTTGGTCACTCATCCCACGGCACATTATCGGTCGGCACATAGGCCGTCCGCCGCTAGGAGTAGCAGTCTCCCACGCCAGTCGGCATGCTTACCCCTCAAGGACACTAGCTGATCGATTCAATTTTAGGCTTCTATTCCGCATGTTTGTACACACCTGGCTCGTCTTAAATACGCTGTACAAGGGAACGTTAATAGACTTCCATTTTCGCGTCCTTGCTGCTATGTTCTCCCTTAGAGATTCGAACAAGGCGTTGTTGGAGTGCTAACTTCGTTCTCTAACCAAGCAAATCTGCCTACCTGCAAGTGGGACTTTAGGTGACATTTCCTGTGAAGCTCAAGGGACGTCATTTTGTGCGTCAAAACTGTGCGGGATAAAATGTCCCCCCCGGGGATTTTGTTGCGCTGTGGTCAAACGACCAGAGCTCAGAAGTCAGCATATTTTTTGCTTTTAACTAATCATCAGTGGCAGTAAAAAGCCTTTCAAACGGGAACCCATCCGAAACAATAGAGTTGGCAATTAGCAAAAGTGTGTATTCTCGTTCAAACGCATGCGGATCTCCGTCATCTCAGGGATGAAGGCAATAAACACAAACATATAACGAAGCCAACTCACTCTGTAAAATAACAGTATTCAAGTTTCTGCGTTGTAGTTGAGAATTGGCCACAGTCAAATGGAAATGGAAATAAAAGGACGGCTCAGTTAGATAAAACATTAAACATTTCGGGGAAGAGGAGGAGGTTGCTGATGGTAGGGGTGACGGTGGTAGACGGCGCAAGTCTACTATAACTTAAAACTTATTCATCTTCCCTACACAACCATACTTTGGACATCATCGAAACTGATAGTCGAACATTCATATGCATATGTTCTTTATCGCTAGGAGTGTTTTGTTACTAGGCCTAGTAGTCATTCTGGTGGATTCTAGATAATTGCTCAGGAGAACCTGCTTGGGCAGTCAGCTTGCTGTTCCGTAATGGTAGATTTCATACAAGCAGTAAGCTGGGCGAGTAAAATCGACCCAAGTGTGAGTAAATTCATGACGCACGGTGAGCCTCGTAGCTCAGTTGGTAGAGCGTTGGCTGCGCAAAAGCCTCCCCTGTTGTGTGGCTTCGACTCCCACCGAGGCCGCGACTTTTTTCACAATTGGGTCAACTAAACATGTTCTTTATTGAATTGTACCTTCGCTACATTACTTTGGGGACACATGATGTTCACATAGTTTACCTTCCCGGTAATGACAAAGAAACAGTCATTCGTTACCGGAGGTGCAACATAAAACAACAGCTAATTAATTAGGATAGGTGTTACACTAGTATACCGTACTGTAGATGCACTTTTTTGACAAGCACCCGTTAAAAGATACCGTGTCTACTTATAAAACAATCATTTATTTCTCTTTTTAAGTACGATGCTTCTAAATAGGTTTTAGGAAATAGTAACCTGCTTAAAGTGTATAATTTCAGTCATATTTAGAATCCTAACTCTAGAACTAAACATTTTTAGTGACTCGTGCCAAAAATGCGTGATTTCTCCTGTTTAACGATGAGTTATGGAAGCTTACCTCGCGAATATATTACTATTCTTAATAAGGAGCACAGATAAGGGAACAAATACGGGCGGTACAAAGAAAGCTCATAACTGAAGGCTTCTTAATACCGAAAGAGAATCTCTGAGTAAAAAAATTGAAAATATGATTGGCTACTAAAAGAAAGGATATTTCAAGTGTGCTTTATATCAAATATACTTGAATTTGTACGGGAATTTAAAATCAGTTGGAAAAATTGTTCTACTTAAGTAGTCATTTGTGCTGCATTATATTTTGCAGGCGGCTGAAAAGAAGTGACTTCAATATAATGGGATGGTCCCGCGAGATGATCAATTTATAATCCCAATTAATTAGTTTTTTCTAAGTTTAACAATATTTCAAAATGTTGTTTAACACTTCATTAAATCTTTCACTGACTGTACATTAAGCCAGTCATTTAGGAAAACATATCCACTTAAGTAGTATCCAGTTATATATGTATTACGGATTATCGCATAAAGCAAACTTATCAGATAGGACAAGACTGTCTTAAAGAGCTGCCTAGATATATATTCTCTCCAACCGTCTTACGGCATTGGTGTTTAAACATTTAATTCCTGGTTAACGAGTGAATGTGAATATGTTATTATGTCGAAATTGACTAAGGAATATTAAATTAAAGTTATATATAGTTGTTTTAATGAGCTAAATAGAATCACCTCCATCAACATACACTCCTTTTGCTCAGGCAACTGATGCATATTGATAGAAATTTGGCCTTATGTTGGCGAAAATTAACAAAAAAAGGAAATGTCGGGCTACTGCAAAATGTAAAAGTTGGCAAGTAGGACGTCTAAAGACAGTCCTACCTCGGAAAGAATCCAAAACATTTCCATTTGCTATGATGGTTATTGAAACCAGGCGTTTGACTTAATATAGTACAGTAGTCGTCGGTTATTAAGCCCACGGTTAATA